TACAGCCGCACACACTTGCACACTCATTCAGACATGCAATCAACATGTTAGGTGGGTTTCGCAGAGAGCCTTCCTGAGTTGATTGTCGAACATTTCCCAAATGCCTGTCGACCGTCTGAAACAATGCCACTTTGGTCGACAGGGCTGTTGTTGGCTAACTTTGCGGGTCTTCCTCCGGTACAGGCGAACTCTTTCAACGCCGCCCGCATAGGAAAAAGCAATCGTCTCGACTTGCGTCCCTCCTCCCGCCTAAACTTCTCCTACTTCGTACCGGCAGCGTAGGCCACCGGATGCCGGAAATTCTGCTGGGCCTAGTTTTTCTCGGGTCGGCCTTACACGAGCTCGGCGCCAGCGCTATTTAGTCATACTTCTACCGAACTGTTTGTGCATATTCGTCGGCATTGCTGAATCAGAGGGATAGAGGCACACAAAATCGGAAGGAGAAGGCATATTGGCTTAGTGAAGAAGAATCATATTGGGTGCAGGTGTGCCAACGCAAAACTGTTATGATCTATTTGCGCTAATATGATTTTTCACGCTGTATTCTAGTGCTAAGTAATCTGAAAGAGAGTGATCATAACAGCAGCAACATCCAAAAAGCCAATTATGAAAGCAGTGAAATTGACAATGTCATTGAACACATTAATTGATCAAAGAAGCTGCATGACTTCCAAAGAGTTCTGACTGTATTCACTAAGTGTATGCAGAAGGCTCATCACATAATTGGTAAACCTAACTTCCTTTCCCAAGTCAGATTTATGAGGACTCCGTTCTCAACTGATTAATTGCGCTGTCACAAACTTGTGTTGGGGCGAGCAGAAACAATAAATTCATCAGATTCGAGTGCATCCAAAAAGGTAGAACTTCCGCTTGAATCCGAATGGAATTGGCAACTGGATGTATCCTTAAGTACTTGATTTAAAGTGTAGCGCCTCGAAAGTCAGTTTTGGGATTTCTACGGTCCTATCAACTAATGGGAGGTAGTCAGCCAATGACGATGTGTTCTACCCTCTCAGTTAGGTAGTTATGTAACTTTCGACACCTCTTTTTTATTACTCAACTGTTTTAATTCTAATTGTTGACAGCCCATAATAAATTGAATTGAACGGCATGAAAATAAGACCGCAACATC